AAATTTCATAGAATGATTAACTACCTTAAATATGTGAATCTAGACTTCTATACATGAACATGGTACTCACGCACATCGATACATAAAATTTTAGAATCATTTAACTCATAATTCATTTCCGAACACTATAATTTTAATCTCATTCAAGAACGAGAAACATTGTCACAGTCATATCAGGCCTTATTTATAATAAAGCACTGTCGCGGTCATATCAGGGTTTAACATTACCACGGTCATGACACTGGCCTTGCAATATAATATTACATTGTCAAGGTTATACCAGGCATTCACGATAACAGTACCACGGTCATGGCAGGATCATTGTGCAACATAAAAACACATGCTATCTATTGCAAGACTTATGCCTGGCACAACCGTCGACATGTTATTAAGTGTTTTTAGGTTTCGCAAGGATCCTGCCATGACCGTGGTATTGTTATCGTGAAAGCCTGGTATAACCGTGCCAATGCTATATTATATTGCAAGGCCTGTCATGACCGTGGTAATGTTAAAGCCTGATATAACTGTGACAATGTTCACGTTCTTGAATGAGATTAGAATTATAGTTTGTGGAAATGAATTATGAGTTAAAGTAGTAGTAGTATCCTAGATTTACATATTTAAGGTAGATAAATGATGACGTTTTCGATTACAGTATTCTCATGCTACTAAATGTCACTAATATAACCATTGTCACGGTCATATTGTGCTTTAACATTACCACAGTCATGACAGGCCTTGCAACCATTGTCATGGTCATATCAGGCTTTAACATTATGATGGTCATGACAGGCCTTGTAACCATTGTCACCGTCATATCAGGCTTTAACATTACCACGGTCATGTCAGGCCTTGCAATATAGTATAGTATTGTCACGGTCATATCAGGCTTTAACATTACCACGGTCATGACAGACCATGCGATATAATATAGCATTGTCACTGTTATACCAGGCTATCACGATAACACTTCCACGGTCATGGCAGGATCCTTGCGAAACTTAAAATTACTTAATAACATGGTGACGGTTGTGCCAGGCATAGGTCTTGCAACAGATAGGGTCTCCATAAAAATACTTGATAACATGGTGACGATTGTGCCAGTCATACATGTAAGTCTTGTAGATAGGGTCTCGAGAAGCATCAACATATAAGAGGTCACACACTTTATTAGCCAAACTAGAACTAATTCAAGATAAACGAAAGTCATTTATGTACAATAGGAATATGGCAGTGAAATTTTTTGAAAATCAAAATCAATGGGCGATAATTCATCATACTCACTTTACGGGAAAATTACAAGTTTTATGTTGAATTTATCAGAAAAAATCATTACCCTGTTTGATCCTCGCTTAGTCTTGTTCACTTTGAGCAACTTCTTACCTTCAGATCGGCTATATTGATTACAAACTAACGGTACAAAACTTCCAGAAAGATATTTCGGCAAAATAGCACGGTTTAAGAGCGCTCTGATTGGTTGGATTTGTAGCACGGGTTAGGAGCGCCTCTATCGGTTGGACTTCGAACTACATTCCAGCACGGGTGTGAAAGCCCAACTGTTCTGGGCTACCCAAGTGTTCTGTCTCTTGCCCAACTGTTCTGACAACCTAAGTGTTCCGAGTTCACATATATTTTATAATATCTTAAAATTCACAAGAGAGGGTGCCAAAAGTTAAAAGTGCCACACGATTAAGAAAGAGAGCCAGAAAATGTCAAAAATTGTCCATTATTAGAAATACGCACCCATTTTTTTCAAAAGGACAATTTTCCTGAACAAGTTGATACATACTTAATATTCCTGAAACTGAGACCCAGTTAGCCTTGCCCAAGTCGGTCTCTTTTACTATCTTAATTTCTATTATGACCGCCTTGTACCAAAGAGAAAGCCACGTGCTTTACCGACTCAATGTTTATGTCGGTAAAATTTGACCAATCAACGACGGCCCTGCAGCGTTAGCTCATTATTATGCGCGGTCAAAAACAAGTACACTTTTTAGTTTTTGCCGGGACTTTTCACGAACAAATCCTGCATGAATTCATCATCAAAATACAAATATTATATCAGATAAATATCAATCAGAGTTTAGTGGATGCATCGATCGGTAACCGGAGGTGAGAAGATTTCAACAATAAACGTTGAAACGATCGCTGAATTCAAATGAACATGTACATGTGATGTAGGCTGAGATTCGATCACTGATCGAAGACTACATGACCCGCTACATTGGACTAGGTCTTGCATTTTCATCGCAAAATCAGTTTTAAATCTATTGCATGATTTAATTTATATTAATGACTTACATTCCCTATGTACATTTAATTACATAATATATTGTAACTCTAAAGAAACGATCGATCAGATCATTGAATTTCAAGTCGTAGACGGGAAGATTGCTTTGCTTATGCATGCGGGTCAACGATTGGTCAATTAGCCTGAAGTCACACGTCGTGTCCACGCGTATATCTGTCAATATATAAGGTTTCGCGATACCCCTGATAGCGTAGGTATTATGGAAATCTCGAAACCGTTGAATATCTTAGCATAATATCAGCAGCGATGTATTGGATTGTACAAGGCGGTAATAATTCAAGATCAGATAAGTAAAAAAAATACCGACTTGGGCAAGGCTAAGACCCAGTCTACATATATCGATATATTCTGTCCAAATATCCTATTGCTCAGGAGTGTTCCATGGTGCAAAGGTCGAACACCCGGGGATTTGACACTCCTCAATGGGTGCCCTGTTACACTCCCCTCCATAAGTTAGGCAACATTAGCTCCCCCATTGAACTACGTGTTAAAAGCCTCTTTACCTTTGAATTTTTATTTACTTAACCTACCATGAAAATACTTATACTATTAACGGAAACGTAATTTGACTTTATTTCCAATACCTCAACATTTTCTCAATTTTTTCCCTCAATTACAATAAGTTGAAAATTGATGATAAATTTGATGAATTTTGAAAATCGACATTCCCATGTTAACCAATGGGAAATGATAGGTTTGCCGCAAGTCATATGACAGAATATCCATCCATCCGAGTCCTTGCAAAAAAATACGAATAAGGCAGGCAATTGAATTAGTGTTAACTTTATTTAACAAAAAATTGATATGTTTCTTCAGGTTCAACAAAGTTATAGGGCTTTAAAGTCAAAATAGTTTTTCAAAAAACCTTTCCCATTGAAATAACTCAGGAGGCGAAAATTATTTTCAAAAATGACTTTGAAGCGCTGTAACTTTAGTATTCATCAAATAAACTAAACACTTAGTGTACAAAAAAGTTAGACAATTCAATTTTCTATATAATTTTTTTTTGCTGAATCTTTTACTGAAAATATATCCTGATTTCTGATTTGCCCGAACCCTCCATTTCCCATTGAATTACATGGGAATGACGATTTTCAAAAATTCATTAAATTTATCATCAATTTTCGACCTATTCTAATTGAGGAAAAAATTGAGAAATTTTGGAGGTATTGAAAATAAGGTCAAGTTACGTTTCCATTAATATTATAAGTTATCTCATCGCCGGTTAAGTAAATAAAAATTCAAACCTAAAGAGGCTTTAACACGTAGTTCAATGGGGGAGCTAAGGTTGCCAAACTTATAGAGGGGAGTGTAGTTATATATAAAAAAAGGAAAATCTTTTGTACATGAGACAGCCACATTATAAGTGATTTGATTAACTTAATTTCAACAGTCATCTCTGTAGAAATCTAAAATTGGATTAGAAATTGAAAAATCACCATATCGAGTGTATTTGCTAAAATAAGTAAACCCAGAATACTTGGGTCAATTCAGAATATTTCGGCAGGAGTCGGAATACTTGGGTAGCCCGGAACACTTGGAGCTTCACACACGGGTTTGATCTGAGGCCCAGGGTTTGATCGAACCTCAAACATGGCTAAATTCTAGCACGGGTTTGATCAACCTCAAACACGTGCTAAACTTAAGCACGGGTTCGATCAATCTCAAACACGTGCTAAACTTTAGCACGTGTTTAATGTGTATCCGGCATCGAGTGCTTCTGGAATAATGGGGTATAGGTAACTGGTCAACTCGTACCCAAGACAACTCGTACCCAAGTTTATGTTTTGTTTTAAATCAAGTGTTGGACTGGGAATTGGTATAGATATACATATTTTAATTGTTCTATACTGTTTAGAATAGTTTGTAGATGAGTTTTCGGAAAAAAATAGATATAATTTTGTGACATTTTGAGCTTTGAAAAATTAAGTGTAAATTAAGTTATATTGACTATTATTTTATATTGGTCACCGACTCATTATGTTTAAGGAAAGATCTATGGTTATAATTATTTTTCAAATTATTGGTGGCATGTTTGTATGTTTATTTATTTAATTAACCTAACCTAAAATGCAATTAGAATATATATTTAAAATGGGATTGGAAAGTATTGTTCAATGATAACAAAATCATGGAGAATTATATTAAGTTCAATATATCATGTATTTTATTCATTATACACAATACATGGTACAATACAATACAGTAGAATACAATACAATACAATACTCAAGTACACAATTGTAAAGTGAATTTAGTGAACACCAATGACAGAAATGACAAGTACGCAAAACATGTATATTTGCAGCCACTATTTTAGAGTCCTGATTATACTTTAATCATCTTGGATATTTTCTTCAGCAATCTGGATGTTGTAAGGGTCCCAGCTTCATATTCCTCCCAGTACTTGATGATCTTTCCAGAGCTGGCTTTGTATACTCTGCGCTGGTATCTTCTTAGTTTCCCATCCTTAACAAGGCGACGATTGATGGACACCAGCTTACTCTCTCTGTGCAAGAGGGGGATCAGTAGGTACATCTGGAGTTGAGTGCGCCCGGCTTTCGAGTTCATGCGACGATGCCAACCTTCAACATCATTGTTTGTTCGGATTGGTTGGCCTGCACCACCTCACCAGGCTTGGCAAGGTGAGAATGTGTATGCCCACTGGAGAATCTATCGCCAGTCTAGATCTGTACAACCATGGCACCACATCTTAGTTTCAAAGTCCAGGTAGTGGATGTAGAGTTTGACTTCTTCTTTGTGTATAGAAATCCATCTGAGTCCGAAAGAAGTGAGTTTCCACGCTGGAAGGCACCAGGCAGCACTCTATATGAGAGAGGCTCTTCACTAGCTTCTGTTATATCCATTGGAAGTGTGGCTTCACGCACTGTATCTTCAGTGAATCGATCAGGGATGTCATAAGGGCGTTCTATATTGAAGCTGTGTATACGACTGTCTGTTACATTTATGCGCGGAATGTCTGTGTTGTACTCAGTTGACAGTTCGGGTTGGTTGCAGGTGTGTTCCTCATTCACTTGTTGGGCTAGGCTGATTTGATCCATCACAGGCGGCTGGCTGTAAGATTCAGAATCCATGAACTCCAATGCAGTACTCTCTGCTTGAGGGGGTCCTACGCTGGTGCTTGTAGTTGTATTTATGATCGCTTCCAGATCTACAGCAGGACATCTTGAGCATTTCCAGGCTATTATTCCTTCTCTGTACTCTCCCTGTGTGAAACCTGTACATGTCCGATGTTGCCATCCAGAACATGAGACACATGTCAAGTACTGCTGTCTGAGACGTATATTGACTCCACACGACACAGGGGCGTAGGAAGGTGTAAATTCAACACTACGCCAAAAATCCCGCCAAAAAATATGAAACAATTGTGTCAATATTCTATATCAAAACGCCTATATTATGCTCGTAAAACGTCATTTCATGGTAACAGAGATTTCAAGCTTGTAATATTCACAACCTAAATGTGAACGGAAATACTTAAGCGATGCATTTGTATGGGCGATTGGTCATACGTGTAGGTTGGCGTTTCGATTTCATATGCAAGCTTTAAATCCCCGATACCTTTTTAATGTGCTTTAAAATGTTCGAATGATTTTCATCATTTAAAATCACCTTGGAAAGCCTATCTTTTAAATCTCAACACAAATCATTCTCACTTTGCTAACATCTCGAACGATTGAGACGACCAATTTCCAAAAAACAATTAGAGATTTTTTAATCATTTTCGAATAATTGAATTAAGATCTGAAGATATATAGTATTGTCGGATTCCATCGTGTACCGTGCAATACAATACGTACAGATTAAAGAAACTAGTTTGATCAATTGATATGAAGAAACGCATTCGTGATCAATGAAACAAATAAATACACCCACCACAAAGGTCAAATCGAGGTCAACGTGACTTAGGGGATGCCAAAAAATGTTATAAAACAAGAATCTATTATTTGTCAAATGAAAAAAAAACTAGGTTATCGCTTTTCTAGAACTGAAATCAATGGGACGTGTAATTGAATAATCAGCATTTTCAAGTTGTTTTTGTCTTTAACATCCATATTTCAAAAAGTACTACCAATAACAATTAGTGATTTAGTAAGAAAATAGATAATTGTTGACTTAACTATAATTTCGTGTCTATGATTTTGCATAGCAACAGAATATAAATCGATAGTGAAATTGAAAAATTGGGGTAGGGGAGAATAAAAAAAATATACATCTAAATTTAAAGAGGTTCATCATTATAATTATATGATACCATAGTTAGCATAAGCATTACGGAAAATGCAGAAAAAATGTCAAAGGTATTCATCGAGTAGTTTTTGAAAAAAAACAGCTTTCCTCTCAAATTCGTGAAGAGAACGCGATTCACGAATATTTGGCGAAACAGTCAATAGTGGCTCGATTTTCATGAAATAAAGCATGTTGGTAAGGGAATTCAATCTGTTAAATGATATTTGCCAGACAGACCATTAATGATATGGTATCCACAAAACATTTCTTTAGGCTAGTGTGCTCGAGATTACTTTTACAATTTAAACAATGAGAAAATATGACTAAAGAACATAGGAAAGTTAAAAAGTCTTTTTTATTCTCACTTTTCAACACTACGCACTGGCGTTTTGGCGTACATTGTTCCTACGCCACTGCGACAGGCATGGATGAACTGTACGCATTGTAGATTGTAGATGTTATATTTTGTGGCATGTAATGTTGTCAGTAGAGCAGTAGATAGAAATCTAAATTTGAAGTAAAATGTTAGAGCCTTTATACTCAGAATTCAGTTAATCCTAATCCAATTAAAAAGGTGTTGTATCTTAAAAACTTGGGATGAAAGAACTTTTTAGATATAACATTTGTGTCACATGAAGATTAAAGTGATGATTGCTTTTATTATGACATCATCATTAGTTAATCTTCACCTTTAATCTCCTTGTTTTTTACCAGCATCTCTTTATCCCTTACTTGAGAAAGGTGTTGTTTGTCACATGCTAATCCAACAAAGAACTTCAACAATATTGTTTTATATGACACATTGTTAGATGCTGCTTAATGTGACACAATTGTAGTGATTAAAGTGATGATTGTTTTTATTATGACATCATCATTAGTTAATCTTCACCTTTAATCTCCTTGTTTTTTACCAGCATCTCTTTATCCTTTACTTGAAAAAAGGTGTTGTTTGTGACATGCTAATCCAACAAAGAACTTTAAACAATTGGTTATAAATTCTTTTTCACTTCAATCTAATCAATAATAATTAAAAAGGTGTTGGATATAAACTTTTCAGCAATAACAAATGATTATCCTTGATGAAAGAATTTCAAAGATTTATCAAAACTTGGGCTTAAAAATCTCTATATTATTTTGGTACTTATTCACACAATGCTATTACTGATAAGATTAATGTCAAAATGAGTAAACTATTTTTCTCTAATAATGCACTTATCTAATTTAATTGCTCAATCCATTTGAGAAAAAATGTCTGCTAAATTCAAAAAAAAATAGTGAGACTTATTTGATTTACATTGTAACATTGAAACATTATTATACAGACTGAATATGTTTTCCTAATATGCACACCTAGTACTGAAAATAAACTTGGGTACGAGTTGTCTTGGGTACGAGTTGTCTTGGGTACGAGTTGTCTTGGGTACGAATTGTCTTGGGTACGAGTTGACTAGGAAGCGAATAATGGTACAGGTATACGAGACAATTACAAAATTGAAGTGAGGGTTATTTTGATATTTCAAAACAAGAAACCATGAAAAAGGTGTGTTTTATTTATTGTTAATCATTGATTTTTGCTCTGCAAGGCCTACATGTGCACATGACTACCTATATGAAAAAAAGTTTTTAAGAATTACTACTCCAAAGTTATGAGGATCTAAACTTCAACCTCTGATTTCTCAATATCAGCTAAAATGCAATTGTAACAATGTGGAAATAATGGGACGATGTGTCTGTTTTGCGGCTAAACTGATGTCATTTTCAAAGCAGAAATTTTTACGTCACGTGACATGACGTGTGTGGTTGAAACAATTTGCCCCGAAATACGATTTTGTAAATAAAAATGAAACTCAAGCTTTTAGTTATTCGCTCTTATGTTGAGCTAATTATTGCATGATTGAGTCTATTCTCATCAATTTTGCGAAGGGGATAATATCACTTGCAATTTAGTGCGGAATCTATTGAGCCGAAACGCTATTGAAAGCATTTGATTTATTTAACAGCAAACATTGCCAGTGTTTGAGGATTAAAACTCGAACCCAAATGTAATGCTGTAAGGCAAAAATATAATTATTGGGTTAACATTTCCAGTTATCGATATATGGTTTAACGAATGCACTTCAATCAATTTCTTGTAAACGTAATGAATAATATTGCAGTGCTTTTTCCACAAGAATGTTTTGTGAAGTTCAATCAAATAAAAATATTCATTTGGCTGTTGGAATGTGTGCGGATATGGAACTAATGTATATTTCTAATTTAGTTCAGCCTTCGTAGTAGTTTGCAATTACAATTTTTCGATGTTTAATGCCAGAATGGAGAGGTTAAGCAAATACGGTTTTTCAAAACGTATACGTAAACGCAAAGTACATTTAATCAACATAGGATTGTATCGCTTTAGTCTACTTCAGATACCCGTTCAACTTCAAAGTTGCGTGTTTAGAACGGGAGATTTTAAAATTTCACGTTGCTATCAACGGGAATCATTATACTCATGTCTGTTGAATGCTATCCTTGGAATTTTGATTTCGATGCAAAGTATAATTCTTTCTGAAGAAGATGATGTGTGTAACGCATGATTTAACTCCAATAATCTTACGAAACGAGCTCGTTTAAAATATGTATTAGAAAACCAGCTATTGAACTTCATCAATGGCATACTATGTAATCATTACAAGCTATGGTGTAGTCTAAACAAACACTAGAGCTGAACGGCTATTTATGTGTGAACTCTACATGTATTTGTATAGGGCCGATTGATACGTTTAAGTTGCGTTCTGGATTTTATACGGTAGCTTAACCTCTCCATTAACTTGGCATACGGTACGTTAAAATTGCCATGGTCAGGTGACCTCAAAAAGTGCACTAAAGTAACAACATTTTAGAGGTTGACAGTCTTATCTTAATAAATCGTGTTGTGTGGGGAAATATGACAAGCTTTGTGGTCAACATAACAAAAGGGATGTTATTTGTGCTAAATACAAGATAATAAGAGATTCTGAAATTGGTTAAAGTACAACTTTAAGGATGCTTAGCTTACCATTGGCACTAATACAGAATCTTTGAGCCAGGGCTCATTTTGGGATGACGAGATTGAGAATCTCATAAGATCCAGTAAACAAGCATTTTGTATCCACAGATATTGGAGTAGATCAAAATCTTGTGACCCTGATATCCTTAATAAATTATGGGAAATGTATTTAACACGTAGCAGCAAGTTCATGAAGCTATTAAGCAACGTCGTCATATTCAGAATCATGTTAACAAAAAATGCGCAGAAGCGATCCAAATCTTAACCATACTGGAAAACTCTAAATATGTTCAATGCATGGGCTGGTCATCTAATTCAAATTAAAGATCCATCCTATCCGCGGGCTACTTTCACTGACCATAAGCTCATTCCCAGACGCTGGTTGATAATTGGAAAGGTGCTGGCATAGCTAATATGAATATTAACACTATGCATGTTGATCTTAAAGAGCAATTTGGCATTTTAGTGTCAAGTTCTACATTTTCTGACAATACTCTTTTTAACTTTACGTTTCACGTTGATGACCTTACGTGTTGTGTAAGTAGCGTGACATTGGCGCTGAACTCACAATATTTTCACTTGGCACCTTTTGAGGTGGATCCCGGCTATGGCATTAATGATTGAGAAATAGGGATCGAAACCAGCCATAGTTTTCTCCTGATGACCATTGTGAATTATTGTGTTTTATGGATTATGGCGACGGCTTTTGTGAATGGATGTTGACCCTTTGAAATGCCTATGGACTTGAATGGATTTATATCTATCCCACATCATTTGAGACTCAATGCTCTATCTTGTATGAGTACTTGTATCTACAACTATTTTTGATGTTATGAGTATTGGCTATCATTTTCTAATTTTTTCTTCAAGATGTATTGTAATGACTTCAGTATGAATGAAATGTTCCTTGGTGCTCTGGTCTTGGATTGTGATATCGGTTCTTGAATGGTGGGGGAAAAGGGGTATTAGACATTGTTTCTTTTCACGTTAGTTCATGGTTTTGTGGTATATAAGGTTTGTTTTTCTTGACTGGTATGCACTTAAAGTTTGCTTTTTCTTGCTGAGTTCCATTACAACTTTTGGTTCTTTTCCGTTGGCACTTGTGCATAGATATTGATACTGGTTAAGCTGTCGGGATTGACCAAAATCAAAAGATTTTTCCCTTCATAGTTCACTGTTCCAGCTTTTTCTGAGATTAAAAGTAAAAAAAAGATTCCGTCAGAATGGTAAAGGGTCTCCTGCAGCAAAAACATAAGGCTGGCGACACAGAACTCTTAGACAATTATAGAGGTATTACAATATAATTAAATGTATAGGAATCTTCACCTCTCTTACAGAGAAGAATACTCTGCACTTTGAAGATAATAATATTCTTAGTGACCTTCAAGGTGCTTCTCTCGAAAACCTGAGATTGGAAAATCAAACTTTTGCCCTCAAAGGTTTATGTAGCATGAGAAAAGACAAGAACCTTAAAACATACTTTGTATTTCTTGACATACTTAAAGCGGTTGACATTGTAGACGGGGACAAATTGTTCATTAAGTTATGGGAAAAAGGTGTGCAAGGCAAAGTCTTGCATCTTTCACGCGCCCTCTATGACACGGTGCCCATGTCAAGCTGCGCGCCTACTTAGGCGCGCAGTTTGTTTCGATCACAAACTGCGTGCCTAAGAACATTGCATCATTTAAGTTGGAGTCTGTATTTTGAAACGTAATTTAAAGACATTTATCCTGCATTGTTTTCTTGTTCAATGCGTTCATTCTGTGGCGAATATACGAATCTCGCAAATACTAGCAAAAACTATGTGCAAATGAATCTAAGTTTTAAAACATAAGCAGATTAATGGCATTTTCGTCACTGATTTAATGGGAATTGGGGAACGGCGTATCCTATCGTTCACAGAGCTTTTTATTTAAACTCCGTTCACAAGTATACTTGTTTTTGGGCTCTTATCCCAAAGATTAATGATTATATAAGGTTGCATAATCATGATTTTGCGCTGTCATTACGTAACATTATCTCATGATTACGTAATCGTTTCTTTGGTATACAATTACGCAAGCTCTGATCGATAGATAGCCGTCTCCCCATGCCAAAAAGGTTAAATTGTAATATGTTATATTTTATGTAATAAAATCTATAAAACGTACACATGTTCTTTGGATATAAATTGTGATTTAACAAGTATTTGTTAAATCTGGTTTATATCACAGAGAACGGTGTCTGTCCTACCAGCCCAATTAAAAGTCTGTTGACAGATCCAGTTAGGCCGGGACAATAACTTATCTTAATGCTATACCAACTGTTCTGTAGTAGTTTGGTTTACACAGTTTTAGCTTTGCATCTTGAGGAAGTCGGACGCTTACCCGCCCCCACCCCTTCGCCCCCTTAATAGGGGGTATCGGGTGGCCCGGATTTCGGAGGCGGCTATCTATCTCAGCACTCGGTCCTCTATGGTCTCTCTTATCCCAAAGATTAATGATTATATAAGGTTGCATAATCATGATTTTGCGCTGTCATTACGTAACATTATCTCATGATTACGTAATCGTTTCTTTGGTATACAATTACGCAAGCTCTGATCGATAGATAGCCGTCTCCCCATGCCAAAAAGGTTAAATTGTAATATGTTATATTTTATGTAATAAAATCTATAAAACGTACACATGTTCTTTGGATATAAATGGGAATTTATACGTAAATCGATCTAGCACTTTAAACATGAATGACAAATACTTGAGACTCGTTTTATATTTAATTCCTTACACATTTATCATGTATCATTCAAAATATTTAAGATAAAACAGATAATCAGGAGATTAAAAAGAAAGAAATCACAAACTGCGCGCCTATTTTAGCCAGAAATTACAAACTGTGCGCATACACTATTAAAACTACATATTATCATTGGAATTTCTACAGAGGCACGTGTAGGTGTTTTTCATGTAGCTTTGGCAATTTTGCTTTATCGTCAGATTTTATGAGATTTTCATATTGAAAGTCAAAATGTAATAGAAGTGACAATTAAGTTGGGAACGAAAAAAACTTTTATTTTCAGATCACCATCTTGGTGGATGGACTCTCATGGTGTTTCAATTATGGGGTTCAACTATTAGACACATATGTTCCTTGTATGGCGATTATGTTTTCTAGTAATACAAAACAAGCTTGGATGGGCAAGCAGTTTGGAAATATTAGGCACGCAGTTTGGGAAATACATGTGAATATAGGCGCGCAGTTTGACAAGAAAAATGTTTAAATCACGTTTATGGCGTATTATCGTTTTGAACACAAACTTTGCTGATTTAATCAGATGGAGTGATCCTATATATTCTAGCATACACAGACACAATGGCTGAATAAACGGCAAA